ATCTATCTATCTATCTATCTATCTATCTATCTATCTATCTATCTATCTATCTATCTATCTATCTATGTTTAAACAAAGAGATTAAATTAATATTTTTTGTCTTTTCCCTCTTTAATTGGTCATAATTATAGTAAAACTGTAAATTTCAGATTTAAGTTTGATTTGGGGTCATGTCAGGACCCCCCGGTGCAGTTTGCCCCCCCACACACACACACACACTTTATGCACGAGCTGCACATGAATCGACTTGTAGAAGCAAGTTTTTGTGTTTTTCTTGTATTGTGGTTTGAAACGAGCCACGTCTGCTTCTCGGACCGACCCGGAGCAGATCTGTGACAGTTTTTTGTGGTTTCCGGTGATTTACGACCTTTTTTTCAGCTCTCAGTCCTCGTGCGAGCTCTCCGCCTCTCCTCCGCACGCGCATGATCAGCTGATCCGTCACGTGGGCTGCAGTCTGCAAAATGGAGTTGTGTGAGTCTGTGCAGAGGGGGCTGCAGCTCGGAGCCCAGTCCTCCGTGGACCGGAGGGGTTTCCAGGCGCTGGTGGACTCGTGTTTCCGGAGCCTGCTGTCCTCTCAGGGGGACCCTGCAGTCCTGGGTGAGCCGCTGTTCCTTTGTCTCACCCCCTCCCCCCCCAAGCCGCTGCTGCTTCCGGTTTCTGCCTCTCTGTCTGCACTTCTGTTGATCCTCCTCCGTGTTTTGACCCAGTCTCGCTGTTCTGGACCAGAACCAGCCGAACTGATCCAGTCTGTCGAGCTTTTCTTCCTGCAGACATTCACTCCTCCGCGCCACAAATAATCTGTTAGTCCGTTTTAATCCCTCCTGGTGCAAACTGCGCCGTGCAGAACCTGGAGCGGCTCGGTTCTGAGCAGCTCCACATCAGAACCGAGCGTTTCAGCTCATCTTAGAAAAAGTGAGCCGAGATAAACAAAGACCCCCCCCCCCCCCCCCCCATGCAGCTGAGGGTCCTTTCACATGCAAATCCTCATTATTTCCATTTTACGCGTCAGTCTGGAGAAGCAGAACATTTCGGGATGTGTGTGGAACCCGATGAGAACCCGATGAGAACCCGGTTTGTGTTTTGTGTTGGTCCAGACGAGCCCGAGCTGCAGCGCGTGGACAGAGTCCAGCTGAAGCAGATCCACTCTGCAGCCACCACCTTCATCCTGGAGGCGGTGAGACAGGATGCTGACCTCTCAGCCATGAGGTGGGTCACAAGCACAGCATCACAGACACAAGCATCCAGAACCACAGGAGCCCAGGGATTATTTAAGAGACGATAAATTAAAATAATCTGACCCCACTGTGGTTTTTAGATGAATTTAAGGCTTTTAAAGTCAATAAATCTCAACAAGTTTTAATTCAGTGGTGCCAGTTGTTTAAACTTTCTTCCTTTTTCTAAAATCTCCTCCCTTTTATTTATTTAACCAAGAACACGGAGACGTAAGAGCTCGTTTCAAACCAGCTCATCGGCACTAAAAACACACAAAATGGAAGAGTTGCACGATATTCTTTAAAAAAAATACAAATTAAAAACATTTAAACAAACAAGCTTCTTGTTGTTGAGGTCGTTTCTTTTCTCGTCAGAGGAGCGAGTCAAAAGAGCTGCGTGGATTTAAATCCAGATGTTTTTAGAGGCTTGTTTTTATTCTCTGCAGCGACTCGTGCCTCCTTCAGCTTTATGGCCTTTTAAAGGAGAACGTTTTAGAGTTGGTCTGCATGAAGCGCTGCGACTCGAGCTGCACATCAATTCATTCGACCTTTATTTATACAGTTATAGTAAAAAATAATCTAATAAGAAATAAATGGCATATGGATGAGGTAAAAAAGACATTTAGAGGAGAACAGTTTTTCTTGATCTGAACAAATTCTTCAGTTTTTCTACAAAATGTGACTTTTTTTTTTCCTTCCTTTAAAAAACAGTTGATTTTTGTTGCTCCATTTGTTCCTGTCAATTATCAACAGTAACTAAAAGAAGTGGTGCAGATGTGTTAAAGTGTTTGTCTCCTGCAGCTCCAGCCTGGAGGAGCTCACGTTCAGTGCAGAAAGAATCGAAATATTCTGCAGCAGCTATCGGGTACGTCCCACGGAATATTTTTTCATTCGTTCAACCTTTATTCATATATAATCTAAATATTTCTACAGTAACTGGGACTAATGTGAGCTCATGCTGGTTTTACAGAAACATAAGAAGGAACTGGAGCGTCTGCTGGCCAGGTGAGGAGCCTGAAAATTAATTCTTCTAATAAAATAAAATTTTTTTTGTCATTTTGCTGAAGTTGAGTTCACTTTTTTGTTTGTTTTTAAGCCATAGAGTATGGAAATGTTAGTTTAGGGATTACAATCTAAACAACTAAAGATAATTTGAGTGTTTTTCTCATTAATTGTCTGTAAACGATCATCATGACGGAGCCCGGCTTCCTCACACGAGACGCACAAATGTCTCAGATTTACGAGCGTCACGTGTCAGAAAAGCTCTATTTGGTTGTTGAAGACCATCGAGAAAGTTCTTTTTACCAAAAGAACATAATTTAGTATCGAAGACGGTTTGAGATCCTAAAATAATTGTAAAAAAAAACAAACCTGGACAATGGGTTGTTTCCAGCTGTTGAACAAACATTTACTCTGTAATGGACGTAAAATAAAAACGAGAATTTGAGTCTTGGGAAGAAAAATGCAGCGCTCCAACTGAAAGGGCTGAAATTCATGGCGTTGAATCTGTGGGTTTTAAAATCTCAAGTTGTCCTGAACAGATTTAAAAACCAGACGGACGATGTCGACTTGTCTGCATCGTTTGTTCGGTAGAGTTTAATCTGATAAAACAGTCAGATTATTGTCGTTGTCGTCCTGAATCAAAGAAACTGAAAACATCACAGCGACTCAGACTTTTTTTTTTATTTTCAGTTAGAGAACATCAATAAATAAAATTTTTTTCCTCTTCTAGTATAGGAAGACGTCCGGCTCAGATTAATGACGTTTCCTGGCGCCTCCAGTACAACACCAAGGTACCTGCGGTCAAAGCTTTGCTTTTGAAACATTTTGTGGTCGGACTCTAATAAAATGTTTTCCTCCGTCAGTCTGCACATCTGGATAAAGTCAACCAGCCCTTCTACCTGATCTCTCTGAACACCGAGGTAAAGCCTCACGCACAACAAAAACCCTCAACGGATTTAAAATCACCACAGTCTCATAAATGTTTTAACTTGTGACGCTTTGCAAACCTAGTAACAAAAACATGTTTTAGTGTTTTATTTCTCACATATTAATTTAATTGTTCCTTGTTTTTTTATTTATTCTGCTTCTGCAGCTTGTTGTTTTACACATTTCTCAAAATTTAAAAGGAACGAGTCTTTTATTTTTTATTTTTTTAGGTTTACAACAAATTTCATTCCTTTTATTGAAAATCTTTTATTTGCTCAGTGAGAACATTAACAAAAGGATCCGTTTCATCTGTGCGTTCTTTTATCAGAATCAAGGAAGCTCAGAAGACGTCAGCTTCACGTGCACGACGGAGCAGCTGCAGGTAAAATGAAAAATAAATCTTTGCAGGAGGAAACATGAATAATTCAGCTCTTCTAAAGAATAAAACTGCAACAAAAACACATTTAAAAATATATATATTTATTGTGTTTGTGCATGAAGTAAAGCTCCAGATTTGGTTAAATGTTCTTATAAAAAACAAATTGTGGATATTTGATGCAGAAAGATGAATAAAATGATTTCAGCCGCCCCGACTCCTTCAGCACAAGCATCTGATTAATTCAGTTTCAGACAACAGCTGGTTTTATTTCCAAACTAACTCAATATTTAATATTTAATTTAGTAAATGTTTGTATTTTCCTGCTCATTTCTTCATGTTGCCTGAATCTGTCCTTTCAGGATCTGGTGGGGAAGTTAAAAGACGCAGCCAAGAGTTTGGAGAAAGCCAGTCAGATGTGACGCGCACACTCACTCACGCACAGTTTATTTTTTTTTAAAGTTGCAAAATAAAATGTGTTTTTCGAAGGACTTGACCTGCGTTTGTCTTGTTGTAATATTTTTTAGGTTAAATCAATCAAAAACAGGAATGTAAAGAAAGGTGCGGAAGCGCCGCAGTTTTAATTATTCCGACTCTTCCGTGCACAAATCTCAACGTGTCCGTCAGCTGACTCTGCAGAGCTCGAGCTGCGCCGCGCACAGATGTGCGTGAAGTTGTGGCAGCAAAGGTTGGCCATTTGTCGGCTCTTCGCGCAGCTGCAGCCGTGCGTGCGCAGAGGGTTCATTTTTAACATCGGAGCATTAAAAATGGCGCAACAGCAGCGGCCTGGCTGTGACGCAAAGTGCGCGAACTTGGGCGTGCTCGTCATTTGGAATCGTGAACGCGTGTCTCCGTGATGTGAAGTCGTTGATGCGGATTTTCTGTCCGCCGACACAAATTCCAAGGCGCCCTTAAACCAGGAGACCACGTGACCACAGAGGGGCGGGACAACTACAAGCCATTTTGGGGACGGTGTCAGTTTCTACGGAGCGCACACACGTACACACGCGCGCGCGCACACAGACTGAGGGACTCGCACGGAACGAGCTGGTGGATCTCGTGGAGGCAAAGTTCTCCGAGCGGAAGCTGCGGGTTCGGGACGCGCGAGCTGCGCGGACACGAGGCTGGTTTTCTTGGCACATCTGAGCTGCGCTCCTCCGTGCGCTCGCTCTCTTCCTCCCCCCTCGCCCTCCCCCCTCCACTCTCTCCGCCTCTCTGACAGCGTCTGCAGCCTGCTTCAAGATGGCGGCTCGGCTCCTATTCATTTTCTGCTGATCTGCCTTCCACAACTTTCATTGTCTCCGCGCCTCGAGAGCCTCCGCCGCGCCGAACCTTCAGGTACGTCTCCGTCGACGCCGCCTCTCCCGAACCGGGTCCAGGTTGTGGCTTTGTGCTTTTGTGTTTTCGTGCGCGCGGATCCAGCGGTGGATGTGAGGTTCTTCTTTTTTTCCTCCTCGCAGCAGCGACGTGGAGCTCCGTCCGTGTCTGTGTGCGCACTACTTTTTTCGTGCAAAACGCGTTCCGGGCTCGGCTCTACAAGCCCATATTCCCCCTCGCGCGCTCTCCGGTGCTTCATGTGGTGCTTGGTCATCCGTCTGCACGCGCTGCTGTCGGTTCTGGTTCGGATTGCGTCGTTTGGATTTATGTAAAGTGGAGGAGCCGAGGCGAGCCAGGCTGGGCAGGCTGGGGTGATCCCGGCAGCAAGTGATCCAAACGGTCCTCCTGAGCCCGGATCTCCACCTGGCGCCCCCAGATTATAGATTTAGGATGTCTGGGGGGTCCTGATCTGGAGCGCGTGTTGCGTTTTCCCGAACAGAACCGATTAATTGATTTATTAACTTAACTCGGACCGCTCCCGCTAAACGACACATGAAGGCAGCGGCGTTTAATTTGTGCACAAATGCGTCGAGATGACTGCGTGCACAAGACCAGGTCGTGAACATTCGGACACGGAACAGTTCGGGGTTTGATTGGGTCCATTAGGAAGGAGAATAGTTGAAGTTTTTAGATAAATAAATAAAAAAAATCAGCGGGCGACGCTTCGGTTTTGATACAAAACGAACCGGAGTTGGTTCTTGCGCCTTAAAGCGCACGAGCCAGGATGTTTATTTTGAATTGTTTTGGCTCTGAAACTTATTGTTTTTATTTTTCTCCTTCTGGAGCTCAGTGTGAACAGGACGAGTGATGTCACGTCTGCAGCTTTTTAGCCTGAAAATAAATCTGTTCAAACGCTCACGCGCAGTTGTTGACTTTAACTTATTTAAATTAAATGTGATATTTGCTCGTGCACATCCAGGATTTATTGGTTGCAGGGACTGAAGCTGTTCTGGGTCACTTGATGCGGGTCTGTTTGGACCTCGGCTCAGAAAGTTCCGGGTCAGACATTTGTCCAAACAGCAGCGGATCGATTGATGGCGCAACAGGGTCCACGTGCGCACATTTATGCGGACGTTTTCCATCGTTGCCTGGTGTTTGTGTTGGGGGGGGGTGTCGGTTGTAGACTGTTCCGAGTTTCACCTGAACCGAGCTGGAATAGCCTCTTTAAATGTGCTGTTGGTGGGGGGAGCGGCAGTTTTGGGGGTTCCGTGACTCGGTTCGGTCCGGGTTCGGTCCGGATGGGTTGAAGCAGAAATGCCCGCCCGTGTCTCTGCCGCGTCATGATGACGGCTCGAAGTGACGCGCAGCCGAACCGGGACCTTTGTGATTCGGTACCCCCCCCCCCCCACAGTGAATGTGTGCAGCAGCCCCGGGGTCGAGGCTGCCCCCCCCCCCCCCCCCCTAAGGTTTTTTTTTCTTTTTCCTCCTCTACAAAATGGCAGCCGAGCTGCAGCCTGGCAGTCCTATGTGTGTGCGCGTGCGTGTGTGTGTGTCTCGTTGTGGTCGCTGCGTGACCGCCAGCCCTCAGGACTAAAAGCAAAGAGGAGGAAAAGCAAAATAAAAAAGGAGGTGCCATAGAAACGACCAGGTCTCCAGCCACAGCCGGCCCCCCCCCCCCCCCCCCCCCCCCGGCTGTGTGGCACACCTGACGCGCCTCCTCATCCTCCCAAACCTTCACCCACCATCAACCCGGGGGCTGCAGATCTGCCAATTAACTGCTTTGGTTAATTATCAGTCACGGGCGCGTGCGCGCTTCTCCTTTTGATCGGAATTAATCACCCGGAAGCGTTTTTCTGCTGCGCGTGTCTTGATCAATAAAATGGTGCCTCCTGTGAAGTTTAAAATGATCTGTTCCAGATGTTCCTCCAATAAATCTGCATTTGGTCACAGAGTGAGCACCAGGAGAGTTCTTCCTGTCGGGAGCAGAATAAGGTTTAATTATTTTACATTCACTTTGATTGTTCCGACACGCACTTTATTCCAAATCCACCAGAAATTATTATTTTAGTTGTTCTTCCATGTTTTGATGCTGATTTGGGATTTGTAGATTTTTAACATGTCTTAAAACAGCAATTTACATTTTCTATAAAATCATGAAAATGTTTGAAAAGCTTTAATAAAAAAATCAGTTTATTAAATAAAACACAGATCTGCCAAGGTAACATCATTTTATGCTTTCTTTAAGCTTAATGTTTATTTTGACTAAAATATTTGTACTTAAAAACACTTTTTTTTTTTTTTGGTACAGAACTATTATATTAAAAGAAATGTAAATCTTAATTTCTTCTAATTACTTTTAAATGTTTAAATGACTCCTTATAATAAACGTTATCGCTCCCGTTGGTGCCATTTTATCAAGAGTGAGACTTTTTTTTGTTTTAATACGTAAAATAAAGTACAAGGCGACAAACTATCAATTAATTAGCAGATAAATTGAGCATAAATAAGTAATCTATATAAAATTAAAGTTTTTTTGACTCTAACTTTATTTATTTGGACAACAGAACGGTCAAAAGATGAAAACACACACAGAGTTTCACTCGTGGTGTTTAAAACAAAGATCTGCTGCTCGATGTCTTTGTCCAGTCGGAGCGGGGCGGAGTATTTAAAACACCGGTGAAAGTGTTGCATCATGAAACGGACCGGACCGCAGCAGAATCTGACCCTGGACCAGTTCTCTAAAATGTCTCGTTGTAACGCCCGAGTTGTGGAACGCAGTAGCTCCCTGCTCACGATAACGTCTTGTTGTAAACGTGCTTCACATGACTGAAACCTCCACCCCTGCAGGACCTCCTCAGCTCCGTCATCATGCATCGCACCACCAGGATAAAGATCACGGAGCTCAACCCCCACCTCATCTGCGTCCTGTGTGGAGGATACTTCATCGACGCCACCACCATCATCGAGTGCCTCCACTCCTGTGAGCCACTTTCTAAACCTCGAGCTTCACGTCGCTGCAGGGCTGACTCAGCGACGGAGCGAGCCTCATGAACTCGGGAGCTCCTTTTCTTGTTTTAAATTGTGCTTTTTCTTTGCAGTTTGCAAAATGTGCATCGTGCGGTACCTGGAAACGAGCAAATACTGCCCCATCTGCGACGTCCAAGTGCATAAAACCAAACCGATGCTCAACATTAGGTGAGATTTTATAGTTTTCCTTCTCGGTCCAGTGCATCGTTTTGTTTTTAGCTCGGAGTTTGCTTTTTAAAACGATTAAATAAATTAGGGATGCACGATATTATCGTCATGGTATCGGCTGATATTGGCGATAAAGTTAAATATCGAATATCGAACATCGGCCAGTCCTTCAAATAATTCACCAATGGTGCTGTTTTTTTTAAAAATATTTATTATATTTATAAAGTATTGCATAATTTTTAGCCCCTTTTTGGCATCTGCATTTGGCCAGAAAAATATCGGTATTGTATCGGTTATCGACCAAAAGCCAATATTGTGCATCCCTAAAATAAAAGTTATTTTTTTAAATTGAGGAGCGGATTAGCTGATATCACATTATGAGATGCTTTAAACCATTAAACGTATAATTTTACTCCCCTGCGTCATCTTCCTCCTTGTTTTGTCCGTCTCCTCTCGATGACTTCACTCTCGTCTCCTCTGCAGGTCGGACAAAACTTTACAAGACATCGTGTACAAACTGGTTCCAGGCCTCTTCAAAAGTAAGAGCGTCGGCGTGAAGTCGCGTTTAAACGTTTGGTTTCGTCTCTTTGAGACGCTGCAGGGACGACAACTCCAACAAAATCGTCACATTTATGTTCCTTGTGGCTCAGATGTCACATCTGTTTGATGCATTTTTATTTATAGCTGCAGAATTTCAGCAAAATGTTTGTTTCTAGTGTTTGGTTATTTATTTATTTGCCAAAACGACTTAAAAGTAATCATGAAAATTGAATATTCTAATAATAAAAGTAAAGAGTTCATCTGTTAAAGAAAAGTTTGTGAATGTCCTCAGATGAGATGAAGAGGAGGAGAGACTTCTACGCCGAGCATCCTGTAGACGGTGAGTCAGGAGTTCTGCTCATGATGTGAAAATCACCAGCGCGTCGTCTTAAATTCCTTTTCGTTTAAAAACAGCCTCGAACGGTTCGCACGAGGATCGCGGGGAAGTGGCGGACGAAGACAAGCGGATCATCACCGACGACGAGATCATCAGCCTCTCCATCGAGTTCTTCGATCAGAGCAGGTTCCTGAAAACACGACCGGATCTGATTTTTATTAAATACAGCTGCATTTATAGGATCAGATTATATTTTTATATTACATTAAACAACTTTAAAATAATTTAGAGCTTTAAAGGAGGCAATTTATGAACAAAAGTTAATTTTTTTCCCCTCCACTTTTCGACAATTTACGAGAAACGATTAAAAACAACAACATATTTTCAAATTCATGTTCGTAAATTTTGTGACGCCGCAAAAACCTGGAATGCGAAATCTTAAGAAAAATGCGTAAAAGTATGTAAATACGACGGCGGACTGATAGTTTTTACTGTTTTCTGTTTTGTGCAGACTGGGAGGTGGAGTTGAAGATAAACACTCTAAAGATCAGGTAACGTGGGATGAAGCGGTTTCCATGGAAACCTGCAAAACTTAAAACTAAATAAGACACAACGGAAGCAACACCACTGCGTCCTTATCCTTTATGTTTTCCTCCTAAACTGCACCACTCTAGATAAATTACTTTCATTTTCTCTAGATGCGTTTTAAAGTCTTTTCTGTGCAGGTGGTTAACAAGAGGTACCTTCAGTGTCCGGCGGCCATGACGGTCATGCATCTGAGAAAGTTTCTCCGCAGCAAAATGGACATCCCAAACACCTTCCAGGTCATTTCTTATACTTCCTGTTTTATTCAGTTTTACTGAAATGGTTGTTCATTGAACCTTTTCTCCTCCCGTCCAGGTTGAAGTCATGTATGAAGACGAGCCTCTCAAAGATTACTACACGTTAATGGACATCGCTTATATCTACACCTGGAGACGGGTACGAGCTGCTCCCACACTTTCCGATGGTTCTGAGAGTCCAACGCCTTTAATTCTTTTGTTTTTATATAAAGGTTGCCAGTCACACGTAAGAGCATCTTTTAAAGCAATAAAACACATTTTCTTTGTGTGTAATCATCAACGTTTAACACAAGTTGTGTATTTAGCAGCACAGTTTGGGTTAAATGTATGTTAGGAGGGTCGGTGAGGTAAAATTAAAAACAGATGGACATATTTAATAAAGTTTTGAAGTTGCTTTGCTTTTATTTTGACTTGAGAAATGAAACCTTGTTAAATAATTTAACAAAAGAAAAGAGTTGCTTGTGATTCGTCTTGCAAACATCTGCTGGATGACTGGACACCAGCTTAAATTTTTTATTTTACTTCTATTTAAAGGCTAAACCAACAACTTTACATTTATTTTATGTGCAAAGTTATTATGGGTTTTTAATCAGTGTTCACAGGGACCTCAAGTTTATTTTTTTTAATGTAGAAAGAAGTTGTTAAACTAGTGAATAACAGTTTTTAAGCTTTGTAGTTTTTAATGTTATTTTAGCCATAATAATCTGGATGATTAATTTAACAAGATGAGGAAAATAAGGTATTCCTGCTTTAGTTAACATAATTCATGATGCAACTCATTTTAAATTAAAATACTTTATTATAAATGATAAAGTAAAATGTAAACAGCCATTCACAATATAAAATAAAATAGGCTGAAGCCAAAAAATGGTTGCACAGAAAGTTTGCAAAAATACAACATAAGCCTAATTTGCACATAATAATCAATTTACATTATAATCCGTCGTTACCTTTTAATTTAAACAAATATTTAATATCTTAATACTGGAAGTATAAAACCTGTTGTCAAATTATTTTATTTTCTATTTTCTTTGGAACTGATGGTACTTCTTTGATGAAAATCACATAAATATTTAATTTCCCAACAGCACGTTAAGATTTTTGGTTCTTTTGTTAAATAAACATAAAAATCAACCACATTGTAGTTATGTATGCTAATGTTATCCACTTTTATTAAAATTTTATTTAAAATAAGCGATTTTATGATATGCTGATGTTAGCCACTTTTTTAATGTTATGTTTAAAATATATCCTTTTGTTATGCTTGTGTTA